TCAACTACTACTACTAGCACAACTCCAAGAACCACATCAACTACTACAAGTACAACTCGAACAGCTACGTCACCTACTACTAGTACAACTCCAGCAACTACTACTACTACTACAACTCGAACAACTACGTCAACTACCGCAAGTACAACTAAAACCACTAGTGCATCAATACTGCCGTCAACTGTCAGTAGTAGTACTTCTCAAAGGTAATAAAATGAATAGTATTTCTTGAGAACATAATTGCTAGTTTCATATTTTTTGTCATCTTACAGCACTGCAACCTCATCACAAACAAGTTCAACACCACACTCAAATAGTTGTAGAATGATAATGAATTCTCAAATGTTATACTTCTTGATATTTACTATTATTATTAACGTTTCATTTCTATGAAAATATATACACATGTTATTTGCAAGATAGTAGTGTACACGATTTAGTTTATCTTATGAATGGTTTATACTCGATATTATACTCTGTATTGACGAATGATCCAAGTAATTTTATATTTATTATTTAACAAAAACATAAATTATTTCTAATAGACAGATGTTGTCAAAAGATTCATATTATTAAAATAAATTTTTACATTGTAATATCACATCAGTAATGTCGAATAAGAAAATATTTATACTATATATATCACGCTCATCTTTATTTAACTCTACCTTAGTTAGTTTCAGTGTACTAAGCGTTCAAATGATCGACTACTAGTAGCAGTATTGTCGCCGATGTAAAAAGAATGTTATGTGGTATCTTATATATAAAGACTTTGTTTTTCTTATGAGCCTAGTAAAACGTAGTACAGACAAATTGTAGATGTTCCTTTAAGCTAATGTATTACTTTTAGCTCTTTCTATATTGAAGTTTCATTTTTTTCAAACTTTTTCTTTCTTAAAATAGTCTATGAAGAAAAAACAATACCCAGTCCCGATTTCTTGGAACTGCCTACGATTGTTCTTCATTTTTTTATATAATTATACATATAACTAGATATGATCGATATACTCTAAATTTACTCAACATATGACCAATTGATATAGTGAAATGTTGGAAGTTATTATAATCAGAAAGAAAAAAAACAAGTAATATACTATACTTTAAGCTTACATTAAGAAAAAACGTTTTGTTCTATTATCTTAGGATGATTATCTACGTAGAATTATATTCGGTAAAAAGAAACCATCATCCATATTGTAATTATTCATTCTTAAAAAAAGACTATTCGTTTTAAATTGAGACATCATCCAGATTAGTTTATATTGAAATAGGAACACAAAAGCATTTACATATTACTTAAGGAACAAGAACACATTTATTTTAACCATCTAATTTTAATAAATCTAAAAGTAATGTTTTTAAATAACGTGCTTCATAGGCTACTGTATTCTTTCCAGCATGTATTGGTTTATTTGTTAATGGTGAAACAAAATTTGCTTTAACATCACGACCCCAACCTAAAAAGAAGCGTTATTTATATTGAAAACTTTCGAAAAAAAAGAATTTTTACTTTCGCAATGACTTAAGAAATGTAACATTTCCATAAGAACTTGATCACGAATAATAACTGAATGACGTGCCATATTTTCGAAAAGTGATAGAAAACAACGTTTCGTATAAAACCATGTATCCGTTCCCAATTTTTTTTGATAAGGTTCAAGTGATTTCATGACACGTGATATACCAAATTCGTAATTATTTTTCGCACAATAAAGTGTTCTATTAAAAATATAGAAAAATATTAAAATTTTTTTCAATAATATCTGTTTTACCCAATAACAAGATTAACAATACATAAGTGAAAAACTTTTTTTTCAGGTGTTTCAAATGGCAATTTATCTTCTTCACGTTCAATTTTACGCATTAATTCTTCAGCCTAGACATGAATAGATAGTAGATATATGTATATTTGCTAAAGTACATACTTCTTCATTTTGACTTGTCATTATAAAACTAACACATAAATTAGCCAAAACAATTGGACTAACTGATAAAAGCTAAATAAATTCAAATTTTACATTCGAGAAATTTCACTGTACATTTACATATAAGAAAAATATTTCTTACATTATCTTCATGTTTCTTAACGATTGGCTCATAGAAACCAACTAAAATAAAAAATAATATTTTATTATTGAAATAAAACAAAAAAAAATCTAATCATATTAAATAAGACATACTTGCTTCTCTATATTTATTATCTTGCATAAAAAGAACATGAGCAACCTAAATAATAAAAATCAATTAAAAAATAATTTTAGATAAAATTTCCTAACATTTAATTTCCATATTTCATTATCATTACAAAATTCCACTGATTTACGAAAGATTTTTTCTACAGCTGCATAATTTTCTTGTAACCAATATATATTTGCTTGTGCCATTAGTACAGGTACATATCTTAATATTAAATTAATAATTACAAGAAATAATATTCCAATGAAAAAAACAAAATTTTACTTTTCTAGAGTAGCATCATATTCTTGAACTTTTTTTTTTACTTGTTCATCTTTTTGTGATCGTCGATTTTCTTGTACTTCTTTAACAAGTCGACGTAATTGTTCAATTAATGTTCCAGCTAATACATCAAAGTTTTTAAATGCTTCTTCCGGTGCAGTTTGTTGAACTATTTTATTTTCGATAAAGGCATATGTAGTTTGTTCCATATATTTATATGTCATCTCAGTATTTTCTGCAAGAAGATCAGCAGCAAAATCATAATACTTAAAATAGAAATTAATATTTATATATGCATGTATATATATATGTATAATATTTACTTCATATTTAAGATATAAAAGACATAAATTAACAAATGTTTCGCGTGGGAAATTTTCAGTGCCAATTAAAAATGTTAATTTTTCAAAACCAGCTGATGGATCTTCTTCCATATTCATAATAGCAAGATTATGTAATGTAATTGGATCAAGTTCATTCACATTTCTAGGTGGCATATCTGTTAAAGCTTCTCGTGCAGCAGTATCTGTATAAAAACAAAAATAAAGAAAATTTTTTATACTTTTAACACGTCTCGATTGTAATAAAAGAAATACAAACAATTTTTAAGTATAAATTCAATAGCAGCACGTAAATTAAATGCTTCAACAAGTATGGATTCTTGTAAAGTATTGGTATTTCCAACTGATGTTATATCGATACCTTCTGTTTGCATACCAATACTTAATTCTTTTGAAGAAAACAAAAAAAAGATATTAAATAGAAATAAATTTTTGTTTGTTTTATTATACCGGGATATTCTTTAATTCCTTTTTCAACAATTGCTCCTAAATGTTGAACAGCTTGAGCATATTGTTTCAATTCATAATAACAAAGTGCTATATTATACCATACTTCTGTAAATATAAAGATTTTTAATTATAAGAAAATCTTTGAAATACAAGAGATTTACTTGAATTATATCCAGTCAATTGTTGTGCTTTTGTAAAACATTTTAAAGCTTCATCATATTTTCCTTCTTTATATAAAACACAACCTGTATTAATAACTGTATCTGGATCATCATCATTACATTGATCAATATAGGTCTAATTAGAAGAAAAAACAACGTCATTTTCTCTCAATAAGGTTATTTCTTACCTGAGATGCTTTGGTATCTTCCTTAGCATAACAAATAGCTGCTTGAAGCTTTCGTACCTAGATTTAAGATGCAAAGTAGAATACATTTTGTTTTGTTACTATTTAAAAAAAAGATAAAACATACATTATTCATAAGTGATGGTTGTTCAATTTGATTTAAAACTCTAAGAGCTTCATCATTAAGACCACATTTATAAAGTGATTGTCCAAATGCAAATTTATAATCATCAATTTCAGGTGAAATTTGTACCAATTGTTCATAAGCATCAGCAGCTTGTGTAAAATCTTGTGAATAATAATAACAATATGCAAGTAATGATAATGTTGGACGACACTAAATAAAAATTTATTTGTCTTCTTTAACTATGAAAAAAAAAGTTAATTATCATACACGAGGTTGACTTTGATTTTGATAGCTAAGAACATTGATTGCTTGCTGATATTTTTTATCGCGAATCTTAAGAAGAAATATAATAACAATTCAAAATAGATATAATGGCTTACCAATGAATAGATTTTGGACGTCATGTCCATATTTGCGCCATCTGAATCCATGCTTGAATTTATTCGAGAATATTTTCAAATGATTCTTTATTCAATATAATTCTATATACTAATTACCATTAAAGCATTACGTGTTGTTATGTAGTGTTAGTAACAAACATGAAACTATATCGTTGAATTAATATTAACAGTAAAATTATGTACAATAGATTTTTTATTTGAAAAACATTTTTAATTTACTAAAATATTATTTTCTTAATTTAATTTTCAATTAAATATCTACATCGAATGTAGCGCATTTAAAATGATTGTATTAAAAAATAGACCAATAAAATATTATCATTATCTTTATCAGTAATAGGTAAAGCATTTAGGTAGTTTTTTTACCTAAAAAAAAAGATATTAACTACATTGCTATAAAAATTCTACTATCTAATTTTAGGTTATTAATTATCATGAGTACTATTACAAATAATCCTCCAGAAATTGATGAAAATATAAATGTTCGTAATACTCAACGGCCAGTAAAACCTCGATACACATTGTATCATTTGAGTACCTTTTTATTAACATTTGTTAGGTAAGAGAAAAAAAAGATATAGAAATAAAAAATGAATATTTTTTAATCTAGTTATGCTATGTTACATGCTGCACGAAAAGTGTTTTCTAATGTTAAATCAACAATGGCTGAAGAATGGAGTACAGTAGCAAATGAAACACTTAATCCAGTGAAACCGGATGATGTAAAATGAATTTTGATCATTAATTGTAATTGATAGATAAAGTATTATTTTAGATTTGGAATCAATATCGTCTCTATAATTCACCAAAAGATGCTACTGTTTTCTTAGGTGTACTTGATGCAGCTTTTATGTTTTCTTATTCAGCTGTAAATATCTTTAGATGAGATGTAAAGATTATTTAATTAGTTCTTGCTTTCTTAGGGATTATTTATCAGTGGTGTCATTGGTGATCGGTAAGATGAAATGTTTGTAATTCAATTGCTGATTAAATTTGCTTGTTTAAAATTAGATTTGATCTTCGTATTGTTCTTTGTCTTGGAATGGTCGTTACATCTATTATGGTATGATTTTGTATTAAAACGAATTGAATCGGATTTCATTTTTATTTATAGATTTTTTTATTTGGTGTATTAAGTGAATGGTTACATATATACTCAATTGGTTGGTATATTTCCTTTTGGATTCTTAATGGTTTAGCGCAATCTACTGGATGGCCATGTGTAGTTAGTATAATGGGAAATTGGTTTGGAAAAGAAGGGTAAAGAAAATCTTATTTTTCTTCTCATCATCAACTCATTCTTTAGTCGTGGCCTTATTTTTGGTGTATGGAGCGCATGTGCTTCAGTTGGCAATATATTTGGTGCACTATTAGCTGCTACTTTTCTTACATACGGTTATGAATATCCATTCCTTGTTTGTGCAGTTTTATTATTATGTTGTGCTATCATTTGTTTTTTTGCTATTATTCCATCACCAGCAGATGTTGGTATAAATACACAAGAAGCTCATGCATCCATTAATGGTAAGGAGTCACATATTAATATATCTCTGCATAATAGATATTCTTCATCATTCAGCACCATCAGCAGCTACAATTAATGACCACGAAGCAAGTGAAGAAACAGAAAGACTTATAAATGAAGATCAATCGCCAACAAATAGGCCAATAACATTTGCGCGTGCATGCTTGTTACCCGGTGTACTTATGGTAAAATAGAAAATTTTCACTCTTTCTTTTGTTTTAAAGATAAAAATTATTTCTTATTAATTTAGTATTCATTATGTTATGCTTGTCTAAAATTAGTTAATTGTAAGTTTATTTTTCTATACAAAACTTGAATATATGAAAATTAATTTTTATATCTTATTAGATTCGTTCTTTTTTTGGCTTCCATTTTATTTACATTCGAAATTTAATTGGCAAGAATCAGATGCTGATTTACTCTCAACATTATATGATGTTGGTGGTATTATTGGTGGAATTGTTGGTGGTCTCATTTCTGTAAGAAATCTTAAAAATTATTTCAAGAAATAAAATATTTTCTTAAATAGGATATAATCGGTTTACGATCAATTGTTGTCGTACCGTCATTACTTATTGCTATCCCAACTTTATTTATCTTTAGTGGTTAGTTATTATTTAATTTAATTAAATTAGATATTTTATTTTTGAAATATATTTTTATAGGTTTACCTAATAATAAAGCTGTCAATGGATTAGTAATGACAATAACCGGTGTATTTATTGGCGGTCCAGCTAATATGATTAGCGCTGCTATAACTGCTGATCTTGGACGACAAGAAATATTGGCTGCTAGTGATCAAGCTCTATCAACAGTAACGGGTATTGTTGATGGAACAGGAAGTTTCGGAGCAGCTATTGGACAGGTACTAATTCCAATTATTCAAAAACAATGGAGTGATTGGCGATTCGTTTTTTACTTTTTCATTGTTATGGTAAGACAACTCATATTTCATAAGACAAAAAAAGATTATTTCTTTTTTTAATCATTTAAGACATTTGTTACATGCTGTTGCATTCTACCATTATTTATTCGAGAATGTAAAATTGTTTACAATAAAATTAAAAATCGATATACAGGCAATCGTCAAGAACCTTATAACACAATATAAGTGGACAAGCAATAAATTATACTCTATGACAATTTAACAAGCATTTTTTTGTGATGTAATATTCTAATCTTTATTTTTTTTTCTTATTTGATAGATATAAGTGTAAACATTATTTTCACTGAAATATGTGTGTATTTTTGCTACTAATTTGCAGATTTGATACGAATAAAAAATTATTATGTGATTAATTATTGAAACGTTTTTACTAGTCATATTCATAGGAAATAAATTGATTAATAAAACAAATAGAATAAAAAGAATATTATAAAAAATCATTTTATCATCGTCTTGAATCAGTGGTATGAAAATCTTATACAATAGTTAAAAGAATGAAGTGATTACATACTATGAATAATAATAAATACGCCTTTTTTCTGTTCCTATTCATGGTCAATACATTCTTTTTATAATTTCTTCATTTCGAGAATGAATTAAACTCTTTTCATTTTAACAATATTCAAACTAATTTTTTTTATTGTTTTACCTATAAAATCGAATAGAGAAACTATAGAAATACCATGACACCTGTTGTTATTCTATTTTATGCACATGTCTGATATTTATATACTGATCTGTGTTTTATATATTTATGCTTTATTCTATGTAAATATGACATAGAAACGAGTAAATATTTGATAACAGAATCGGTATCAGTTTTGTTATTACTGCACAGTATGTTATATATTTATCTCGAAATTCAGTATTATTCATTTTTGTTTTTTGTCGACAACTTTTATAGCAGCTATGAGTGGTGGTTGTTGTGATTTACGCAAACGTTGGGATGATCTCGTTGGCAAATCAGAAAAAGAAGCAGTTGAAACTATTAAACAAGATGGTAAGAAACAGACTTGAAAAAAATAATGATGAATGAATTTTTATTTTATTTATTAAAATAGGTGAGAAAAATATTGAAGTAGTCGATGATGATACACCAGAAGCTAATGCAGCAATTAAAAGTGGTGTTGTACGTGTCATTTTAGATGAAAATAAAAATGTTAAATATCCACCACTTCGACAAAGTTAATAGCAACAAAATCTTTCCATGCTTTGTAATCACGCCTTAAAAATACTTATATATATGAACACTAAAGCTAGTGTTTTTTAAAGTTTTATATGTACGTTTAAGTTGAATTTGATAATAAAAGTCATTATTATAAAAAGTATTATTTCTTCTATGTAAAATTCTGTGTTCCTTCGACAAGTCAATAATATTTATCGGCTGAAAGAAAATTACTGCATATATCAAAATGATCGATGTTTTCTTATTTCTAACATATCATTCAATCTTTTTATTAATTATCTAGTTAAGTCAAACTCGTTATATTTTTATTGATGTCTTTTTTCTTCAATTCATTAATGTTCAATCATATGGATGTTTTGGTTTAATTTTTGAAACTTGTTCTATTTCTTCTATAATATCAGATGTTAATTCTGGAATAATTGTTAATGCTTTGAAATTTTCTGTTACTTGACTTGAACGACTTGCATTTGTAATAACTGTGCTCACATTTAGATTTTTTGCTGCCTAAGCAAATGCTAATTATGCTATTGTTGCATCTAATTTATTAGCAATTGGTCGTAAATTTTCTACTATTTCCATAATACGATCAACATTTTTGTTCTTGAAGTCCATTACGATCTTGACCAGATTCGAATTGTTGTCGAAGCCCATGATAAATTACCTTTAAGACCTAAACGGTTATCACCACCTTCCAATTGTTTACTATTATATTTTTCAGTTAAAAGGCCTGATGCTAATGGTGACCATATTGTAGTACCATAACTCATTGGAGATTTATAAAGATTATCATATTTAACTTCAAATCGAATACGATGTAACATATTGTCAAAAGGCAAAAATAATATCAACATTCAATAATACGTTTACGTGATAAACCTTTTAAATTTGCTTTAATAGCTTGTGGATGATAGCATGATGTACCCCAAAAATTTTTGTAAAAATAACTAAATTAGTTTGTTAAATATCATCTTGTTTAAACATTCTTTTAAGTACTTCATCCATAGCTGTTTCTGCTTTACCAAAACTATATACTTCGGCATTATCAAAAAATTACAACCATTATCATAAACAAATTTCATACAATTATATGCTTCATTGATATCAAGTTGTTCGCCAAATGTTACCTAAGTGCATATATATATATTGTATGAGAAAAGAAAAGTTTGCACTTTTCTTTCGTTTTAAACTTACCCCATGCTCCAGATGATAATAAACTAACTTTTAGATCAGTTCGACCTAAATTTCGATATTCCATTAGTTCTTTAGGAGTTTTATCGCTAGTTGACATAACAAAATTTTAAGAAAAGATTGGATTTACCTAAACAAAGCACACAGGCAAGTTGAATTTTACCATCAGTTGTTTTTTTTCTTATTTGACTTTTATTTTCCTTTTTCCTTATCTATATAAAATGCATACGAGTGTTTTTTTTGTGACTTTTGTTGTTGTAACATTATTTAAAACTTATTTTCTAGCTAGTTCGCGAGACAAGAAAGAAAGAGGTTTGTTACATATCATATAAAGGTAAAGAGTATAAATTTATTAGATATAATCTTTATCAGATATATAGTTTAACATCGTACAGAATTTAATTAGAAAAAATAAATATTATCTACTGTATATATTTATCATCGCTATAGAATATAAATACAACATTGTCTTCAGTAGTTATTGAGTACATTAGAAATCGTGATTCTATGAAATGCTATAAATAACTGTAGACAGACATTTATAGATAAGAATAATAGTACATATGTTTAGTTTAATAGTTTCAGTTGGATAGGTAAGTCTTTTATTTAATATTTATCAGAATACTCTTTTAATAAGCATATCTATTATAAAATTTCGAAATGCCATTTATACTCTTATTTTTGAAATATATATCAATTATAATTCAATAGATGGCGTTTTAAAAGTATTTTCATTTTATATTACTATTAACTAGAGATATTTTTAGATAACTTTTGATTTCGATTAACTTTGGTTTTTGCAAATGAAAATATTCATATGATACTTCATTAAAAGGTTAAAAAAACATGACGTGATGTCTTAATCCTAATTAGTTATTTAAGTGATGAAAATGAAAAATGAGTGATAACAAATTATAATTTCATTTTGAATGAATAAGCGTGAAAAGAAATATTTTTTTTTCTTTTTATTAGTAATAAATTTTTAAAGAAGCTGATGCATTTCGCGCTCTTTTATTGTTTATGACAAAATACAAAAACAAGTTTTGTTGTTAATATGATAATTAAGACTTTTCTTCTTGTTACAATGGGCATAAATCTTTGAAAAGAATCGACACAATAATATTTATCCTTTCCTAATCTTCAAAACCGTTCTCAATAACCTTTTAAGTACAAGAAATAAACATTTGTTCCTAAGCATGATTGTTTTCTCATGAAGAGTATTGTATATCTAAGAATAGAATATCTAAAGTTATTAATTGTTGATTTATTTTTACCATACAATAGTACTTAATGATAGTTCATCATTTTTGAAGAGTTGTATAAAAAAAAACTCGAATATATTTATTCTTTTATCAATAGAAAACAATCTTGTAACTCGTAAGTGTGGATCAGGCTACGTCGACATATTTCATCTATTTTGAGTACCTAAATAATTATCTATACTTTTTCTTTTGCGGTAAAATTTAATTTTATAAGAAAGATTTTCTCCATAAACCGATTTAATTCTATATTTAGTTTTTTGATATAATAATAGAAAGATAAAGTTATTTATCTACTGAAAATAAATAAGATTTAATAAAAGATCAATTTATATATTGATGAATTTATGATTACTTTATGAAGTAGATCAAAGAAGAGTTGAAATTTAATGATGTTCTTGATGATGAGAGCATCTTATCTTTTTTTCTTTCTAATGACAAGTGCACATATTTACGTGTTAGTAATTTTATAGAACGACTTAAGAAATCTTCTTATATTTGTAAAGCATCTATTTTGTTAAAAAATAATTCTGTCAGATAGTTTTTGCGTGTCATTTTAAATGTTACTATAAAAATAGAAATTATAATCAATATTTTTATTTGATAGATCATTGAAAGAACAAGTTTAATTTCAAGTTTAGTCACTTATCTCTTCTATTAAATTATACAGCCATTTGCATTTTAATTGGACCATATGGTAAATAATTATCAAGTTTGAAATCATCAATATTAAAATCATCTATTGATGTTCGCTTATTAGTAATTGTTAATGTTGGAAATGAATGTGGTTCTCGTTCCATTTGTTCACGTAATGGTTCAATATGATTAAGATACACATGTGCATCACCCATCGAATAAATAAAATCACCTGGTGTTAAATTACATACATGTGCAATCATATAAGTAAGTAAAGAATAAGATGCAATATTAAATGGAACACCAAGACCTAAATCACATGAACGTTGATACATAAGACAAGATAATTCATTTGATGGTGATACATTAAATTGACATAAGACATGACATGGTGGTAAAGCCATTTCAGGTAATTGACTTACATTCCATGCACATAGAAGAAGACGACGTGAATTTGGATCAGTTTTAATCATATGAATAAGTTGAGCGAGTTGATCAACACCTTGACCTGTATAGTCAGTTTTACAATCGATATATTTTGCACCACAATGACGCCATTGAAAACCTATTAAATATAAAGAGTTTTAAGGAAAGCGATTCAACCGGAAAGTAAACTAAAACTAAGTATAAATATCAGGTTTACCTTTAATAGTTTTCATAAAGAATAATAAGAAATAAGTATGATAGTTATATTCGATTAAAATAAAATAGAACTCGCTAAAAGATATGATCTTATCATTATATTTGTACTACAAGAACAATGTTATGTTTGATGGTTAAAAGAAAGGTACGATAATTATTTTACTAATTGATCTATATTTGGATTATTAAATACCATGAATTAAACATGCAATAGTTAAGTAAGTTCATTTTAATGATATTTCTTTTTCAGATAGAAAAGGGTTTCTCTATCATATGAACTAAGGATTTGTACTTTTGACATAGAATAAGATCATCTTTTAAATTAAGAGCATGATTTCGAAAATATTTTCATAGGATGTGTTACAACACATTGATAGAAGTCATGCCATTGGATTAACCGGTTCTTTCATTGTTAGAATTCTATAAGCGTACGCAATAACCTGCTTTCATGTCTGACTATATTAGTACTTGAAAAATATGCACCTATAAATACATACCATAAACAGGTCCTAGATCTCCTTCTTCACGTTGTGTAAAACCAAGTTTATCAAGAAAATCTCTTGTACCATTATCATTCCATATTTTTACATTTTTTCCATCAAGAATTTTTGCATCTGTTTTTCCACTAATTATCCATAAGAGTTCTTCAACAACGCCACGCCAAAAAACACGTTTTGTTGTTAATAATGGAAAACATCCATTCCGTAAATTAAAACGCATATTTGATGGGCCAAATATAGAACGTGTACCAGTACCTGTTCGATCAGATTTTTCCAGACCTTTATCAATAATTTCTCGAACTAAATTAAGATATTGTTTTTCTTCATGATTTTTTTTATCATTATTATTAGCAACCATTTCATGTACATCTTTTTCAATAGTCATCTACAATAATTAAAATAGAAAAAGTTTATTTTTGTCAATTAATATTTCATTATATTAAAAGGTAAAAAGAACGCTATTTTATTTGACGTTCGGGATTGCAAAAAAACAGAACATTATAAATAATGAATAAAACAGGATATAAAGGAAGTTCTATTAATAGAAATTATTAAATGTATGAGCTAAGTTGAGAAATAATTCATAAAGCGAGTGTCATTTTTGCAGCTGTTTTCATTCAAAATGATATGTACCATGGGGAAAGAAGTGGTTTTTATATTTTTTTTCTTATTATAGTCTTCATGTTTTAGCTACACTGCTTATTCCAATAATTATTATTCAAATGAAAACTATCTAAGTATCATTGTAAGTTATTTTATATTTAACTATCATATTCTTCTAAATATTTGAAGTGAGTAGACTCTTTGTTATCGAATATTACAAATTATAGTTGATATAAAGCTTCTCATTATATTTAATATTATTGATGTGTTGCAGGCACGTAACATTCTTTTAAGCAGCTGGAAGCTTTTATTTTTTCCTTTTTTATGGGCGTCTTTATAAAAAATTCATACTTTATATCTCATTAATTTTAAAAATAGAAAATTATGCAAAAAAAAAGTCGTTCAAATTTGAAATTTTTTCTAGAAAAATCCGCAAAAAAAGATAATTTACTGTAGATATTGTCATTTTTCAATTTAGGATAACCATTCAGTAACAGAAACAAAATGATTCAGTAGAGACGAAGAGAACTCGTGATAACAATTGAGTAACATCGTTCTTTCTAATTCTATCAACCAATGGAAATAAATGTCGAACGGGATCATTGTGTTCATTATTTTAACGCAATGTTATCTATTGAATTAGTATGAATGTATGAAAAATATTACATATTTATCTGACATTTAGATCATAATGTGTATTTAATAGTGTTAATATCGTAATTGCAGACTTTACCTTTACACCTCAGTTTGTACTCTAACCTTTGTCAGAGTAACATTCAGTTTATTCTTTATACATTTTGTAAACATTTTTTCCATATTTGTAAGGTTAAAAAGACAATGTGAGAACATTCTTTTCAATTCAAGTATGTTATGTCATAAGAAAAGGGCTGAGATTTCCGTCATTATAATATTATCGAAATTTTAACAAAAGCCCGTCACGTACAATGTCTTTAACATTTTTAAACAAGATAACCAAAGTCTTGTAATCTTTACTATTCGTAACAATGGACTGGAATAATGTATTCTCTCGATGACTGAAAGTCACCGAATTCTAGGTACCTTATTTAAAAAATTATAAGTGTTTTTCTCGACAGCTGTTTTTCCTTAAAAATTCCGATAGTACTAAAAGTTGATATGTATGATCTTCATATCAGACGTAAGAAAAAGCATAAAAAATTACTTATTAATAGGGAAATATAGAAAAAGAATTTGTACTCAAAATACGAACTATATGAATAAAAAGTACATTATATTAAATATATATTTAATTATAAAAGAAATAATCAATAACAATTGATTTCATTTTTGTTTTCTAATACAATTGGTTTTGGCAGTATATTTAATAATATCTATTTATATTCCATACTTATGTTCATATAGATCTGTTTTTCCGTTCTTTATATATTCATAGTATCTGCTTCTTAGTCATGTTTTCTTTGTTTTGTCATGAAAAGAAGTTCTTTCTTTTTCTACTGACTATAAAGATATTTGTAGATGTAAATATTCATAAAACATATATAATATGAAATTAAATAAAAACGATTACCTTACGTTGAGTACATACGAGATTATTGAATGAAACACATCGTATACTTATCGACCTAAGACATAACATCTTTTACATCCGTACTGTTTTTTTATAATGTTAAACTACATTTACAGAAGTTCGATTATGATTTTCTCTTTCTTTTTGTTACTTGCATGGTTGCGCACAATTCACCCATTTCGTATCCGTCCGCTTTGCTTCTTGTTTCTCTTTCTTTTTCTTTTTTTCATTCTCTTCGTGTCTTTTGCAATTACACACATTTCTTTTGCTTTTATCGTCAGTCAGTCAGGCCGTAAGTGAGTCTGTTCTTCGTGAAAAGAAAAAAATATCATCCTTTTACGCTCACACTATTCAGCTTTTTGAGAAGAAAGAGTAGAAGAAGAATAAAAGGATGACGAGTCGAATAAGAAAAAATGCATTGCTGTTGTTATTGCAACTGACAATCTACCTTCTGGTTTACAAGCTTACGTGTACGGGTATATATTTATCTAACTCAGAATTTATGAGAAAGCAAACACTCTTTATCAGTTTTTATAATATCAAGTATGTGAGTGATTGTAATCGGGATGCATACAGACATCTTAATAAACACAATGAAATTTGACTAATCATACATCCGTTTGGTCATTAATTTAATGATATTTATATACAGATATAGATCTGTATATATATATATAATTTTTTTTTCCTATTTTCATATTATTTTTTCGTTGTTAAAAAACATTATTAGTCAATTTTTAATTAGACTAATAGAAAAGATTATGATGATAAGGAGTGGTATATTTTATTATAAAAAATATATATTGCACGATGTGTCAATTCAGATGAAATCAAAAGTTTTGATTAAAAAAAAAACGATTTTTTTCTTTCTTTTATTTTCTGTTACTTTTCAGATTTCGTACTATTTACTTAAGAAGTATGTACCTATCAACTAGTGACGAAGTGAATGGTGTTGATATTGACGATAATTCACAAATACAACAAGGAAATACTACTACTACTACTCCTCCACCTGTTTCTTCTAATGTATGTGAAATTTATTTAAATCATTTTATGTTATTTTAATCTTATTATTATATGTATATAATATAGATACGAGAAAAAACAACTATGTATAGATTTCATTTAATTTTCTGCTTTTTGCTCTTCTTTAGCCATCACAATCATCGTCTCCTTCCTATTCTACTTTACTTGTCATAGACGATAATTCAAATTCTAACGATTCATCGTTAAAGACAATTGACATTCCAACTGATTTTGTATCTTCTAATGCTCAAATTCAAATAACATCTCCTCCGTCCTTGCCTAATCTTGGTAAATTAGATTTTAAATTTTGAAGAAAAAAAAACAGATGAATTTTTGTTTTATTTATTAAAATATCTATGAAACTTTAAATTTTTATTTCTAGATTCCCCCAATGATACACCTGCACAACAACGTCGTAGAAATTCTTCTATTGCAAAATTACTCGGTGGTCAACCATTAAATAATGAGCAATATAAAGGTTAATTGGTGTTGTATTTAATTTCAAATCTTTTATTTTCTTTTATTTATAGTTATAAATCAACAAATACTTGAAGATCAATCTGCTCAGAATGTACCTAGCAGTGGTGAGCCTGTGATTGATGGTGAAATTCATAGGTCACGTAGTTCTATTACAAGAAGTTTATTAATGAATGCTGGTTAATATAAAAAAAATAATTAGTTATTATTATTTTTATTTTATTCTATTTCAGTTTTAGAACAAAGTAAGATTTCAACGACCCAAATTACAAAAACACGACCAATATCACCTAGTTATTCAAAAGATGTTGAATATCTAATACGTCGTGAACTTGTATATAAACATGATACAGCGACACTTCGAAGAGATAGTAAATTCGGTTTAGTAAATATATATGGGAGTATTTTTTACGATTCTTTGTATAGGTTCAACACCAAGTGTTTTTCAGAGTCTCAGTAGTATTCGTAATTCACCTACTGCTAATTCTCAGCCAGCTTCAAATTCAAATTCAAAATTAAAACGAAAAAGGTAATCCAATAAAATAAAATAATTTAAGAGTAGTTTTTCATAATATCTATATTTTAAAGAACCCATCAAAAACAACTAGAACCACTACCAACAACTAACAAACCTTTGAATGTCGCTCCATTTACTCTACGTGATCCATTTGAAATTGATTCTTCGGGATCATCCTTAGCTGCACCGATAAATTCAACACCTAATCATCGTATACATCATCAAAATGATTTATATCATTACGATGTTACACATCGTCATCAAAATCATCCGTCACTACTACCATCATCGCAACAACAATATGCATTATCAATGAATAATTCAACACCATTCAATTATCAGAAATTAAATGCACCAGTCTATGCACCATATAAAATTCCTCATGATCGTTCATCTACAACTACTTCTTCTAGTTCATCATCATATAGCGGTGGTCGATATCCTCATATACCTGAGTTAACATTACCGACACCTATTTCGCCTTTATCAACTCATGTATCAACAACTTCTATCACATCAAACCATCCCATGGGAGCATCATCCCGTAAAATTAAAGTAAATATTTAAAACAAAAAGAATAAGAGAAAAAGAAAAACATGCTTTTTACTAAATATGTATTTAAGTGCAACAAAAATATAAGTGAGACATAATCAAGTCATGTTTGCAGAATAGATAAAGAAAAACTTTAATAATATGCTCTGTCATGTTGAAGAATGAATTCTATAGAAGAATTTTTGTTAATGGAAAAGAATTCATGTATATTGATGTCTTTTATACAAAAGTACCTAGAAAAAGTACTTCGGAAAAGAGTTAAAAAAAGAAAACTATGAAAAAGTTCAATGAACCAATATATAATATATGGTTACATTGAAAGAAGTTTTCTTTTTTTTCTGTAATAATCTTTAAAGAACGTCCATGTAAGAATCATTATTTTTAACTCGTTATTCAGTTTTATGTACATCTCTTCATCTGTTTTAAGTTCTACAGAAAAAATCATACGCAATACGTATTGTTTGAAAATCTCACATATTAGATCGAATTTGTCCAAAATTCATATTCTTTTTTTAATAGAAGTTTGACTAATTAAGTCTTTTATATGGATCTATTTTATATCTCTACAGACAGAAAGATTAGTAATTTCTAAGCAGATATTCTTGACAGAAAATTATTTAAATTGACAAATTTTTTCGAAAATTAGTGGAAAATACATCGTGATAAGTATCTAACACTCTTTTCTTTTATTCACAGACTGCCTTTATGGAACGTTCCTATACTGTGCATAAATAGTAAAAATCTAAAACGTGTAAATTTGTTTATAGCGAAGAAAACCTGAAGTAATCGATTTCCTGTATCTTAACAATTCCACATGTTTCTTTTTCTTTTATATATGAAATGCCACGCATTATTCATGTAATTAAAATCTATTACAAGGTTACCAGTTTTGTTGTTGTATAAACATAAACATGTTTGAATACACTATCTAATATGATAATCATGTACTTTTACGAGGTCATTTTATTTATGATAAATTAAAAAGAAAATCATACGCTTGCATTTACTGAGTCATAATAAATTTTCAGTTTCTACATATTGTATATCGCAATGTACTTGCTTCCAGATATACATATATATATGTTTATTCACTTGAATGCGGCTCACTGGAATGGAATTAATACCAGTGGCGAGATTTAAACTGTCATATACGCCCTATTTTTAGAATAGAAGTTTTTTTTGGGAAAAATATGTTAAATGCAAAGAAGATTTTTATAAAAAAACTTTAAAGGATAATAATTTGATAATTATGTATTTTTAGACGATACATGGTCGACCAGATTTATATGAAATTCCATCACAACGATCCAGTTCTATTACATCAAGTCAATCAAATGTTTCATCATCATCATCATCGTCATCAGGTCACAGTATACCATTAAAAAAACGGTTGCTTCATGCTTATAAAAATGAACAACGCCCTTCATCATCACTGTGATTATTTCTTAGTCTTGTTCTTCCTTTATAATTCTAGGAAAACATAAATCTCATTCTAATAACAAGCCGAAAAAGAAGACATTTTCTTGATATATTTTTTTTTCTTTGTTTTGTTTAATGTATATACTCATTTTGATTTTCGTATGTCTGAAAATATAGACAAGAGAAAGACAGGCACACATATACAAAAAAATATATATATATATAGATTTATTTTTATCGCAGGATATTCACAAATTTAGTATAAATTGTTTCTACTGTCACCGTTGGTGTATTAAGTTCAAGAATTAATTCTCTTAATGTTAAACATTTAGTAGGTTGATCTGGATTATTACAAAATAATTCCATTAATGATTGTATTTTATTTGAATTCATTTCAATTATTGATTTTTGGAGACGAGTTAAACGAGATTTCGTATAAAATTGTTCAAAGAAATTTTTAACATAAATTGGTTGCTTTTGAAGCCATTGAATATGATTTGCTACTCGAGATTTATTGATCTAAAGAATAAAGACGAATACATATGAATTTGTTTTAAAAATATAAAATCATTGATTTTTATCCATTTACGCTTCGCTGAAAAGGATTAGTTTTTTGTTGTTTATGGCTATTTGATGATTAATTAGATCGATTATCTTCTATTGATTTTATAGTTCACTGAGTATCGTTATTTATTGATATGTCTTAATCAATTTTCATATAACTTATCAAAACATCGATGAATGATTGCTTAGCAATTCTTTCCTAAGTTTCTATTCTCTTTCTTTTTTTTTGTAAATATCTATTAATTATTATAAAATAAACTAAAGCTTTCAGCACATCAAGTGCCATCGTCAGTAGTAAAAATAAATTAATACTATAGTGCAGGAATAATGAACTACAATTATGTATCACTAAACCGACAAGTAACAAATACACAATTAATAGAACACTAAATATGTTTGTCTGTATAGCTATAAATGATGACAGTAATGTAACAGATCTTGATAAAATTAATAGAACTAATCAACATCAATTCTACTGACGATGGCACTTGATGCGCTGAAAGCTTTAGTTTATTTTATAATAACTAATAAAAACTATTATTATATTCGATTTTATTATTAGTTTTCACGATCTGTTACATTATTGTCATCATTTATAGTTATACAGACAAACATATTTAGTATTCTATTAATTGTGTATTTGTTACTTGTCGTGTTCAGTGATACATAATTGTAGTTCATTATTCCTGCACTACAGTACTAATTTATTTTTACTACTAACGATGGCACTTAATGTGCTGAAAGCTTTAGTTTATTTTATAATAACTAATAAAAACTATTAATGTATTCGATTTTATTATTAGTTTTCACGATCTGTTACATTATTGTCATCATTAACTGTACTTCATACTTTTTCGTGTGTTTTTTTTGTTTTCTGTGTTGATCGAGGTTTAATTAATTGAAAATATCGTTGTCGACATTGAACAGCTGATCGACTAGGTAAATGTGTACTGGCTACTGTTGACCAACAAACAGATGTTGTCTGAGTAACATGTTGAAGTAAAATAGCATCTTCTTCTGGTGAAAATGAACCTTTTTGAATATCTGGATTAAGATATGTCCATGCATGAGTTATTTCACGTATACAACGATCACCCATTCGATAAGCAGCATAAGAAAGGCAAAAACGATAATCTTTCATTACTGAACAACGATGTTTGTATATTGATAAGAGAAGTTCTTTTTCAGGTTTTGTAAAACGTCTAAATTGAGAAAACAGAAAAAAATTTAGGTAAGTAGAAATATATATTTTTTAATTGAAAAAAAAAACAGTTGAATATTATCAAATCCTAAATACAACTGAGTGAATTTGTTTATGATGAAATGGTTTGTCTTATCTATTGAGAATGTTAAATCTAACAGAACTCTAATATTCTACGCTTGATTAGATATTGCAATGAGTAATAATATGAAAGTACCCAATGTTCGACGACATTTTTATTACAAAGGAAACTATTAAGGAAACGGATATCTTTACTTTTTGTAATTAAAAATATTTTTAAGACGTTATTCACTGCCATATAAATAATTACTTTATTTTAAAAACTTGTAAAAACGAGTTTAGAAGCTTAAATAATTAAATAACCCAGACGTATCTTAATGCATGATTATTAACTGTAACATATTTAAGGAATCTAATGTACTTTAATTTTAAATAATATAAAGAGAAAACAATGACCTTTAGAAATTTCTTTCAATTTCGAGATATGCATAGCAGATGCTTAAAATAGGTTAATTGTTAGGTTCATTTTGATGTTATGAATGGCAACAATTAATAGGAAAATTTCAATAATTGACATAAGAATACTTTTTATTGATGTATTTATTGTTGAATAAATCTAGTTGAAGTTTTAAAATATTCTTTTTATGTATTATATTTATTTTTAAATATTTCAATGCTATAAATATACTACTTTATATAGGGTATATTGACATTAACAAAAAGATGTTTACATGTACTATTTTTTTCCTAATAAAATATGCCGAGAAGAAATTTAAGTGCGTAAATCAATATTGATACAAACATTGTTAACGAAATATTTTTCTATTTGTCTATGCTATGTTAAATCTTTAATGAAATCGTTTGTCTTGTTACAAAATATACAAATAAGACAAAATTACTCAAGCTCAAAATATTAGAATATTTGCTTGAAAGGAAACTTTTAGTTCTATCCATGGTTTTAACTGAGGATTTAATGGTTTTATGTATCATCTGGCTTAGTCTATCTTCGCCGAAAATGAAATTCACTGAATCGATCCTATGGACAACAATTGTGTTTTGGATAATTACTCTATGATACCAAATCAGTTGATCTCCAAGTGGGACGACTTTCAAGGAAGATAGTTACCATCTTAGATGGATGTGGATATTACATCAATGTTACTGTGACACCCACACTCATCCTTGTGTGAGCTTTCAGTGAGAAATTCATTCGGCGAAAGTAGAATTTATCGACAAACACTACATTTCAAGGTTTAAAATTTCTAAGAATATGAATGTCATTACTACTACTATAGTGATTTCATCTATTTAACGTAAGAAAAATTTAGAACTCAATTGGACTGAATATTCTCGATCACTATTCGTTCTGAATGCATAATATGAAGTTCAAGGATTATCATTAACTAATTAACTGAAATACACATATAAACATCATATCCTCTGAATATTATTCAAAAAAACAATTTAGTCATATCTATAATTATTAAATCGATGGGTGATACTTTCATAAACATTATCGACTATAGACTTAATCATACTTAGATGAAATGATATCCCTTAACTGCGACAAAATTAAATAGATTTTTAGATATTTTATAGTGCTTATTGCAATGTTAGAACGTTTGTTAGAAATATAATAGTTTCGTACTGTACTTTTCGATTTTTTTTACTATTAGAATATATTAAACTGGCTGTTTCAGAATTGTATACTATTAAGTAAGATCCTACTGTCAAGTGTATTAAAACTTACGTTTTTGCATGTAATTTATTCGTTTTTGTCATATAACGTTGTGCACACATAAATGCTGATTTTTTCTTTTTCTAAATAATACAAAATATTTGTTTATTTCTATTCTTCTAAATAATCTTTACTTGAAAAATTTCATGTTGAGCAATTTCTATCCATTTTCCATATCCATATTGTTCAACTAATTGATTTAAAATTTCATCATCATTATCTGACCATGAATTATTTGGACCATATTGACAACGATGTATCCACATACGTTTTAATGAATTTTCATCAAAATATTTAAAACCACCTTCACTTCTCATTTTTGTTCCAATTAATTTCCAGTCAACTTGTTCAATTAAAATATCTTTCGAATTTTCACTCATTGCATATAATCTATTAACATTTACTGAAATTTTTTCGATTAATTTGTTAATATTTATTGAGATTTTTTCAATTAATCTCTTATTTTTTACTGAATTTCTCATTGGTTTCAATTCATTTAGTGAAATTTTCATTGATTTTAATTCACTTATTGAGTTTTCAATTGTTTTTAATTCATAAATTTTGTTTTTTAAATCATTTTTTATTATATCATTTTTCCTTTGTCGTTCTTCTTCGTTACTTAATTCAAGTTCAATCCAATGTAATACTATTGAATGCATACTTTCAGCAACAAGTGGAATTAATAGTTGAAGAAATTTATCATTTAAAAATTGTTCATGTCGCCATTGACATATTGTTGTCGATGATGGTGTTAATGAACGATCAGGAAAAACTGTTGCATCAAAATCCTCTTCTGTTACATTATAAGATGATACATGTGTTGTTAAAGATAATGTAGGTTTGATATCAATTTCTCCCAGATGAGTATTTAATGATTCAAGTGCTCTTTTATAACAATTATTGAATACTGATGTAAATAATGGAGTATTTTTTGGAAGTGATGATGAAAATAATTCATAAAGATTATCATCATCAATGAATTTATGATGATTTGAAATATCGTTCGTACTAAATATAGAAGAAACTGTTGAAGTCATTAATAAACATAAGAAAGTAAGAGAAGGAAAGCTTTTTTATTCAAATGAAATTTATTATACAATAAAAACAAACGGTATATTCCAAGCCATACATTTAATTTTGATTGGAGAATATATTAATCCAATGAATAAGAAAATAATTTAGTATTTATTAAAAGATATATTATTGAAAAAAATACTCAATAAATTTTGATTGATGATAAAAAAAACTTTGTTTTTAATAATTTAATTCAATTGATTGAAAAAAAAGATTATGATAGGTCAGATAGTCATCACCACCTGGATGAATTGAAACATACATACATATCTTTATATATATAAGAATGATTGTTCATTAATGTTATGGTATCTTTTTTTCGTATTTTTAGAACCTAATCGTGACTATATATATTCAATTTCAAGTATTTTTAACGTCAGATCGAGAAGTTTTTTAAAATGACTTTTTCTTCGCTTATTTTAACATTATCTTGTTCAATTATTTGTGTGCTGGCTTATACTGACCCATCTGCAACAAATCCACAATTATTAAAAAGATTTGACTATAAACTATCATTTAAAGGCCCACATCTTGCTTTTAAAGATGGAACAGTACCATTTTGGACATTTGGTGGAAGTAAAGTTTCTTTCTTTTTATAAATACATAGTTCATTTGTTTTTCTTTTCTTTGTTTATATTAAGGTGCTATTGCTAGCGATGATCAAGTACGTGTTACACCATCGATTCGTAGTCAAAAAGGTTTGTAGAGAAGAAAAATAAGATTTCGATTTATATATAGAAAGAATTTTTGATTTGTTTTTAGGCTGGATTTGGAGTAATAATCCATTAACTGCTGATCATTGGCTTCTTGATATAAAATTACGTGTAACAGGACGAGGTCGTGTTGGTGCTGATGGAATGGTAAATAGATAAATATTATTTTATTATGTAAATGAACAAAATTAAGTAGAAAAATTAACATATAAAACTAGATAAATGATGAAGTTTATAGTAAACAATTATATTTTTCTTAATTGTTTTTAATATAGACAGAATATCATACATAAAAACTATAATTTTCTAATCGATATTGAAAGTTGAATTTGAATAAATAGAAATATATGATAAATTATTTTATTTTATTTTATTAGGCTATTTGGTTTACCGATAAACCTGGTGTCGAAGGTACTGTTTTCGGTTCCAATGATCAATGGAAAGGCTTAGGCATATTCTTGGATTCATTTGATAATGATGCATTGGTAAGTTACATGAATTAATATAATTTCTTCTATATAATAAAAGAGAAATTCTTTTATAAAATAATCAAAAAAAGAAAGAAATTGTTTCTAATTGCCACTTATATTTCAGACTACTCAACTCGTAAGTTATCTATTGTAAAAAAAAATAAGTTTTTTCTATGATTTTTTTAACATCTTTCTGTTGTTCAAATTATAGTAATATATTGTACTGTTCATTTCTGAAATCAGATTAATTCTAGAAATTTATAATTTAATGCTTTCAAATATCGATAAATATCTATGTCTTGATAATTTAGTAAATGTTGTATAAAGTTAATATAGTTAATTTGCTTGGTTCGTTGTTAAATCGAAAGTTCACTTGTTCGAATCTATCGAAAAGCATGGCCATTATTGGGCAGAGGCCTTAGTCTGGAAACAGACAATGATATGTGTCTCTTAATCAATAACGGCAATATAAAATCGGCGTGTTAATCCCAGCATGATGACTGATCATTTTGGCTGATTCATGACTCCGATACAGAAAATAAATAAATAAATTTTGAAAAAAAAGATATCTTTTATGAATAATCGAATGAAAAATTTTCTTTTCTTAGCAAAATAATCCAATTATTGCTGTCATGATTAATGATGGTACAAAAGCTTATGATCATCAACATGATGGTAGTAGTCAAATTCAAGGCAGCTGTATTCGAGATTTTCGAAATAAACCATTACCTATTCGACTTAAAATTGAATATATTAATCAAGCATTAACCGTAAGAAATTTAATAAAGAAAATAATTTCTTTTTTTTTTCTTAAATGAATTTTTCTATATTAAAGATTTATATTAATAATGGAATTTCACAAGATGATAATGCATTTGAATTTTGTACACGTATTGATCGAGCACAATTACCTCAAAGTGGTTATCTTGGTGTTACAGCTGCAACAGGTGGTCTTGCAGATGATCATGATGTTTTAGAATTTTTAACAAATACTTATTCGGAAAGACAAGTTTCAGCACAAAATCAAGCTGCAAATGATGAACAAGCACGAAGATATAAAGAAGAATATGAAAAATATGAACAAGAACTTAAAATACAACAAGCCGAGTTTGTATTTTTATTTTAATAGTCGATTTTTATTAATGAATTTTAATTTATTTAGTTATCAAAAAAGTCATCCAGATGCAGTAACACAAATTAATGAACAACAAGTGGTATGATATATATTTATTAGAAATATTAATAGAATAGAATTATTTTAGTATGAATCTGAATATGATCGTGAATTTCGTGTTATCTTAGAAGGTCAAGATCAAATTCGTTTATCAATATCAAATGTTGATCGAAAAATGGCTGAAGTTTTGGGACGAATTGAACGATTATCAATCACGGGTGGCGCACCACAACAAATCGGTGAACAAGCTCAAGTAATATAGTTTTTGTGAGTAGATAAATAAATTCAGGAGCTTTTTTCAGGGTGGAACTGGTGTTGTATCTGGTGTACCTGCTGATGTTGCTCGAATTCAAGATATAAATCGAGTAATTAATGCAAATACAGATATGACACGAACTATTCAAAGTTTTGCGTAAGTTCTAATATTTATTTAAAATAAATCTATATGTTTTATTTATGAATGAATAGTCAAGTATTAACTGATCTTCAACAAAAAGTTGGTTATCTCCAATCAAATCTCGTTAATCAACAGCCAGTTGGTACAGGACATCAAGCACCATCTGGTTCAAATGCAGATTCAACTGTCTTAAGTGAACTTCGAGACACAATTCGTCAGATTAAATCTGAAACAAATACACTTCTACACAAAGCAGTACTATAAAATTCAAATTTTTTCTTCTTCTTTCTATGAATTTGTTTTTCAGCCCAATCAAGTAACATGTCCAAGTATTAATGGTTTAAGTGATTCGACATGTCTTGGCCCATATACATTCTTCGTAATAATTGCTTTACAAATTGCTGTAGTACTTGGTTATTTAACATTCAAGTAAATTCAATTATTTCCATAATCTATTTAATTCTGTTCTTTTTTTTCTCTTTATAGAAATCGTCGAGAACAACTCTCACGAAAATATTTGTGAAAAATTTTCTTTATTATTTCTTTTCAAAAACAAAACCAAAACTTCTTCTGTGTAATCGTGTGACGAATGAAAAAACTAAAATTTATACTATCGACGTGAGCTTTTCTCTTTTTTTTCGTTGTTATTATTTGTTCTTTAAACTGAGATTGCATCTATATTTTATTTTCATTTTTCTATCAATCAAAACAAAAAAAACACGAAGATACTCATATCTTCGATGAATTAAAATGAGAGGAAAAATCCATTAGTCAAAACAATACTTCCTCTTCAGATAGATAACATTTACAAATCAACTCATTTCTTTTCTTCTTTTTTTTTGTTTATATCTATGGAATCTCATATTTAAACAGCTGTTAACTCTTTATTCTCTATTTTGTTGTTAGTCATGTTTACTTATTTATTTTTTTCCGCCTTTTATCTTTCTTTGACTATATTGTCAACAGCAACTGTTTTATCGTGTTTTTACGTATGTGATTTTATGTTCTTTTTTGTTTCTCTCATTAAAACATATATTGCTTATGATAAACAAAACAAAAAAGTCTTGACTAATATATATACCTTAAAACTTTCTACCTTTCAAACAGATTGAAAGATTTTGATACATTTAACTAAACAAAAAAAACAATATGATTTTGTATTTATGACATTGTTTTATGTATATTTGAATGTAATGCTAATTGTTTAGACTTTTTCAAATGAATAAACTTGGATAGTTTCTTGTCGATAATATTATCATCATCGTTGAGAAAGTTATTTGAATTCATTTGTTTATGTATATAGAATGGTTTATATTTTACAGGTATTCGATTTGGTTGCATATAAAATAAGATTAACCATATGAATGAAATTACTAGAACTAACATAAATATAATAATAAATAATATAAATGGAACTAGGAAGAATCCAAATGATATCATTTATTAATAAATTTTTTAAGAATAGCGCGTGAATATTCTCTTTAATCATATTATTTCCGTAAACAGTAAAACAAAATTTTAACACTGTTTTAAAATTACTATTTGCTTTTCAATGACAGAAAAGTCTTAGTTACTGATATAATCTTTTCTGACCTATATAAATAAATCTTTTTTCATCATCGTTATTCTGCATTTTACTTTTGATACTGATAAAAAAAAAGATAAGTATTTTATATAATTGAAGAAGACCGCAGTAGAAGTTGCAAGTTATTATTAAAATAGCGATATTTGAAAAGAGACAAAAATGTTCTCAAAGTCAAGTCTTTCAACAGGTATTCTGTTATTTATCATAGTTACATATGTAAAAGCTGATCTTCGAAGCACGTTAGTATAGAATCTTATTTAAATATTTCATATTCTTATAAATTATTTCAATAGTGTTTATGAATTGTTTGAAGCTCGAAGTGGTGTTAAATCAAATTGTACTTTCTGGACAGCTCATTTTGCAACTAATGGTGTAGTTCGTTCACCTGTTGGATCAACACCTTTCGTTGGTCTAGATGCTATTCAAAAACATTGCGATGCATGGAATCAAATTCTTGGTCCTCAAGGAAATGGATGGTATCCTTTAGAATTATGGTCAGGTAATAATGAAGTATGTATATATATATATATATATTAATTTAATTTATAATCTGATGTTTATTTCATTTTAAAATAGGTTGCCTTTGAATCTACCGTTAGAGCAGTAAATAAAGGTGGTTGTCAAATAAATTTACGAGGTGTTATCGTAATTAAATTTGATAGTAGTGTAAGGATATAATTACTTTTATTAAATGCGAAATAAGATTATTGTTTATTTCTAGTTAAAAGTTTATGAATGGAGTCATTATTATGATTCTGATTTTGCTAACCCACAAATTCAAGGTAAATGTCAATATCAATAAACAACAAGTAATTCAGAAAATAAAAAGAAGAAATAATTTTGGCATTGAAAAAAGAAGAAGCGAAATCTCTTTTTCTTTTCATTTGATGTATTAATATATTTTATTAAACTATAGCCAAAATATAGATGAAAATTTTTAAGATTGTTTATTACCATTGCTTTTTTCTTTTTGTTCACGCTCTAACATTTCTAAAACTCGCATAAATTTTATAAGCATTTTCAATGGATCATTATGTTCAAAATCAAAATTAAGAAGTTGATCATGTGGATTGATATTAGTTGATACTGTTGAAGAATATGCTTCTAAAATATAAATCGATGTTTTTTTTTCAAATAAGTTTCAAATGAAATATCGAACCAGTTGTCGGATTTGTTGATGTATGAGGTGTATATCGAGGACCATGCAATTGCCAAGTATTGAATGTCCATCGTTTGTCATGTATTGGCATTGATTGTAATGGGCTTACAAATAAAATAATCAATGCTGTTACACTGATGACTGTAGCAATTGTTTTTGAAGAATTCATTTATAGATATATATATATATGATATCTACAAGAGAGTTATCAATTTGATTCCTATTCTAACTATATATAAATATACTTAAACTATAAAGAAGAAAAGAACGACAAAGCCGTTTTTTCATGTTTGTTGTTGACACATCACTTTTACTCAATAAAATCATATCTTTGTTCACACATACCTTTATGTATGGGAGGACTATGACAGTTAGGTAGGTTGAAATTATAATGCATGAATACAATTTGATACATGTTTAATCAACATTGAAATTGAAACCTCTGATTATTACTGCTGAGTTCCTGTCAGTACGATAATGTAAAAAGAAGTGAACAATCTTTTTTACTAACTACCCCAAATTCATGTAATTTTCTATCTACTCCACCTTTTTTTGATGACGTCTTTGTTTCAATTTAATCATCATAATAATAAGATATCTATTTCATCATAGGTGCAAATTGTATATAGAATAACTAATGAATCGTATTTTTACTCAATAAAAGTGTAATCTATGTAAGTGAGTAAAAAAATATACTTGGATTATATTTGAACATTAGTGCCATCTAGTATTTTTTCGATGCATATATAGAAACATTTTGTGAAAAGGAATTCTATGCAGTATAGAGAACAGCAAAAAAATAGAGGTTCGAGCGAGGTTTGAACTCGCGACCTTCTGCGTGTAAAGCAGACGTGATAACCGCTACACCATCGAACCGATACTACTGATCGTACAGAAAACGAACATGATGATAATTAAAATTTTATTATATTAAAAAAATAGTCAAATAAATTATATGAAATAAATACATAGATTAATATGTATACATATAGTCCATAATAGCATGTAATACAACTTATTTTTTAAATTTATCATGAAATAGACATGCTGTTTATTGAATTATTCGAATTTTTTTTAAAATGCATTTGTCAAGAAATGATGATAAAATTCCGAATATTTCAATAAAAAAATTATTAACTATTTTTCTTTTCGATGTGTGAGTCAACAAGTGTGAAATATGTTACATTGTAATACCAGTATGTTCGTTGATTTTTGTTATTGACTATATAAGTAATCACTTGAATATTAATTACTTTCAAGAAGATTGCGATTAGATTGAAAGTTTTTGTTGGAATTTTTTGAAGAACATTGTAAATATGACATCCTATTGCTTCAAGAAAAAAACATGTATTTTGTTTTTGCATTATTATTGAAATGAAATATATTACATTTATGAATAGACTATCGATTTCTTTTTCATATATAAAACTTTTTTAAATATTATATTAATAATCTCCAATAGAATTTATTCAAGTAAATATTTTTTAAATATTATTATGATTACTAACCATATTACTATGCGATTCATCACTATTTGTATATGAAAGTTGACACCTTCTTTAATAAATCCGACGTAAAAATATAAAATATTTCCAATTAATTAATTAATTAAATAAAAGTATTTATATTCTATCATAATATATATTACACGATAAATACTGTTAATTTATATATCAAGTATATATATTTTTTTCTTTGTTTGATTAAATATATGCATGTACATTAAGTTATATGAAGAACAAAAGAATCGCCTTTATGCTTTCTTTAATAGTGATGCTGTAATCAATGACATATATCCTTGAATATGAGTGGTAGATATTGTTATTGTTAGTATAAAAAATTGACACTATAGTCTATTCCTATATGAATAGTAATAGTTCACAGGTGACTGATATTCTTATGTTCAGTGTCTAGTTACTTTTATATTGTGTATATACAAGGTCTTGTGTATGAAATAGACAATGATAAGCATTGTCAAGTGTCACAGCTGATGATGCATCATTAGACATTCATTTACGATAAATGACTACAAAACGAATAATTTAAAGGCAAAAAAAAAAAGAAAGAAAGAGAAATTCTGTTGAAATTGTTCGAGAAAAAAAATTAATCATTGGCGTCGGAGTAGAGTAAAAGGTTTTGGTTAACAAAACAAAGACGATGACGCTCGTCTCACTTGAGTAAAAGCGCATATTTTTAAACAATTGATAGAATACTTCAAGTGCAATAAGACACCCTCCAAAAAAAGAAAATAGTGAAGGTTGTCGGTAACATATTTGAAAATGGTATAATTTTTCTTTTGCCGTAACAAACGAGAGAAAAAGTAAAGAGCAAGTAATGATGCGAACGCATAAAAAAAATGAGAGAGAGAGAGAGAAAGAAGAAATACACGTACAATGTATTACATAGAATACATTCTTCAAGGAGTAAAAAGAAGAGAATAGAGTGGAATCCATTTACTTTCTTTGTTCTTTTCTCTCTCATTCTCGTTTGTTGTGTCCTAATCTTTTTCAATTTTTCACCGACAACACTTCGGACGCGGATCACTTACAGTACCACTAACTTTTTTTTTTATCTTTTCTATCGTCTATTCGTTATTCATTTCTTCATTCAATAAAGCATATAGTCAAATAAAAGTAATGCTGAAGTGGGCTGTAACACCACGGGCTAATGGTGATTGCTTTGAACAAGATGGTATTCATAATGGTGATAATCGTGAATTGTTAACCCTACAAGCAATTATTGAACAACATCGTCTTCCATGTCTTGTTCGTCTTATTAATGATGACATAAATGAAACACTTGACAACTATTGTCTACTACTTTGTCAAACAAATGATCCATATTTACTTGTTTCAAATGAATCTGAACGTTTTTCTATTCCACTTTCATTTGATGGTAAGTTATTGAGAAGAACAAAATATCAAGGTCTACGCTTTTATGATGATGATGATTTAAAAATTCTTCGTCTCCTTTTTTCTTCTCGGTCATATTTGCATGCTTGTTGATTCCATATACATCTTAAACTTGACACTTTTTTAATACATGAATTCAAAATAACCTGATACTTATGTTAGAAAAAAAGACAAAACAAGAGTAGAAAGATGATGCTTTACCACACATTTAGATCAATATGTAGATATTTATTTTCTATATTTCGATTGACAAAGTATAATCATACTGCGATCGAAAATTATATTTTGATGAAACATTTCTTTAGAAATATGTAGGCTTCTATTTGAAAAAAATACGCATATTAAGAATACAAAAGCATGAAAGAATGTAATCTTTAATAAATATTCAAATAACAAATGAGTAATAGATACTCCTAAACTAGTTCTAGGATAAGATGATAAAATTAAAAAAAAAAAATTTGATCGTCCATAAAAGTTCCTATCATAAATCTTCTATAAAAAAAAAACAACATTTTATTTATATATATATTGTTTCTATTATAATATAGGTCTTTTTGCTCCTGTCGAACAAGGAGTTACTCGTTATAATATTCTTCAATCAATACGTGCTTTACAATCTCATTTGAAACTTCAACCATCATCAGCATCATCCTCATCAGGATTTTCACAATTTACTACTTTACAACCATGTATGGCATATAGTAATTCAGCTCTTCGTCGTATTCGTTCTGGTACTATTCTTGAACCATGTCGTGCACCAATAATAACATGTCGATCACCATCACCATCAAATTCAACATCATCATCAACAACAACAACATCAACTAAACGTATACGTGCACTTCTTGCTAATATACCACATTCATTAAATAAACATATTCTACCACATCATCCACATTCACGTATATTTAAAAATCAAATGCCACCAAGTGATTATCTTGAAGTAAAATCACTTCAATATGATGAACATTTTTGTTTAAAATCAGATTCGATGGGTGTGTTCGTTCCTGTATATACACAATTACCAGCAAATAATACATCTCGTCGTTCATCACTTTTACCTTGTTCTTCACCATTTTCATCATCTTTTTCAAATCAAGTTCAAGGTCTATATACAGTGGAATTATTAAGTAAATTGATTCATCAATATCCACTTATAACAGAACTTATTGTAAGTCGAACATTAGAAGAAAATGTACCAACATCTGTTGGTTATCCATTTCGTCGATTAACATTACATCGTCTTGTCGAACAACATACACGTATTATTGCATTTGATATGAAAAACTATGCATTTCTTGAACTTGATACAACAAATTCAATTGATCTTTATGCAGTTGAACATGATGATACATTATTTCAACGTTATCAAGCACAATTACGTTGGTGTGATTCACATATGTCTCCATTTCGTTCACAAATTAAAACTGTTGTACATTCATCAAATGGTACAGCAATGTTTGTTCAAGCTACACCACTTCATGGTCAACAACTTCAACAATATCATCAACATCGAAATTCTACATCTAAAACAACTTCACCAATTCCTAAACATATACCACAAACAATATTTACATCTCAAGAATCAATTTCATCACTTCGTTCACGTGCTCGTACTCCATCAGCATCAAAATTTAATACAACATCAAATCATTTAAAACAAGATCAACTTCAATTAAAAAGTAAAACAACAAGATCGAATGGAACAACACGAAAAGATGTACGCGTGTATTTCAATGATCCAATTATTCAAAAGCAACTAGAAGTTACATCACGACCAATGATTAAACAAACATCTTTTAATAAAAAGCACTCATCCTATCGAACAAATAGTACGGAAAGTGACAGTATTGATGGTGATGGAGAAATTGAAGATTCATATCAATGTACAGCGCTATAATGTTATTTAAAAGCATCGTATATATACAAAGTGTATAGTTGATTGTTTTGTTTTTATTTTGTTATTCTCACAATTGAACTGAGAGAGAGAGAGAGTGAACTTTTTGTATTATTAATGTTTTTAAATAATATGATCATAAAATGGAAATCAATCTGTATTCTATGTGTAATTTAATTGCATTTTTTTCATTCAACCGAATTCGATGTATTTATTGATAAATTATTGACGAGACCAGACAACATATGTGTGTCTTATCATCTTTATAATTCTGTCTCACATATCGACCATAGAGCAGAAAGAGAGGATTATGTTGCATAATAATATAACATCATATCATATATCTCTTCATCACTTTTGATAAAAGACTTTAGGATTATTCTTATTCAATTTATATTGTTTAAAATATATATATTCAATTAAAATTCATTACTTCAATGTAAATTTGATAATATCAATAATCAGATTATTTTACGCTTGTTATAGTTCAAAACTAAGAACGAATTTTTTTTGTCATTTTCATATCTTCAACAATAGAAGAATTATACCGTTATGTAGTTCTTATAGATTTTCCAATATAAATTTTATAAAAATGAGATCATTTCTTGATTTTAGATAGTTTTCACTGAATTTATAAATACAATTATTGAAATTTAAATTATAAGATATGCTTATTTAAGCTGATTATATTGAATCTATTTTACTATTTATTATAAATAGATAATAAATCTATAAATATACTAATTATACGTAGTCTGTTTGAGTAAGATTATTTTTAATTAAAATCTATATTAATATTGTGGTTATTTGACATACACTCAATTAGGTAAAAATGTTAGTTTCCTTTGTAAAAAAAGAATATTTATACTGTTAACTTTCCATATCTCTTATATAGTCTATCAAAAAATCTGTCAATATGAAAAGTATTTTAAATCACTATCTATATATTTTATAGGCTTTAAATCATTGATTATATTTTCTATAATAATTTTTGACATGATTCAACAACTTGATCATTCATTATCAGTAGTTCATATAGAGAATACTATGTCTCAATTCATGAAAAAATTAGTACGAGATATAAAATATTTTTTGATACGCTGAAAAAGAACTGATAGGATTTCTGATGGAGTAAAAATATTTATATTTAAAGTATATTGAGTTTTATAAAAATAAGTCATGCACATGTTATGAATTCTATTTATATTTTGTTATTTATTTACTTTTACTTAAAAAGAAACTCGAGCATAAACGATTACCTAATGTCATGTCTAAAATTAATAATTTTATTTACAATTTAGGTAAGTCATGCACTTCCATCAAATTTAGATCAATTTTTGAATCCTAATACAAGGTTACTAATTAATTGTATTACATACTATTTGATTTGATTATAAAAATAGAATTATGGAAAATTTTTTTGTAAGTATTTTATGCTATCGTCTGTTTTTAATCAGAAAATACCTTTGATTCAAATCTCGATATAGAATCAAAAAAATTATGATTGAGTCTTTTGTATTTTTTGTTTCTGCATGATGTGTTATTTTCAAAAGCACAATACCAATGATCATTTATAGTGCTTATTTCATTGAATAGAACGTAATAGACGTGCTTCCCTTCGATAAAAGCGAATAATTATTGAATTTTTTATAAAATGTCCTTAATAACTAGAAAAAAAGTGTATGCCAATCTATCCTATTTTCAAGTTCATCATATCAAACTAATTTATTTAGAAAAATATCTAAATCGAAATGATAATAAAATTAAATTTTCATTTCAAATATTATAAATTTGCAGAAACAAAGTATCTCATCTAATTTAAATTTTCTCTTAAGGTAAATGTTAATAATTTCTCGCAAGTGTTATTATTCATGCATCAGGAAATAAGTCTTTTAGTAAAACGGATATGAAAAATAGTGAAATTTATAAAGTATGTACCATATGTTATAAAATTTTAAAGAGAAAAAAAAAACTAAAAGATTATATTTCTTAAAAATAAAATTCATCGAT